TACGATTGTAAACGGAAGTAAGGAGCTTGTTTTCCGTCAGAGTTTATCTATCACGATATTCAATCATACCTGTGACTAAAAGTCTCAATGTCGGCTTTATAATATTATTGACACAACGATAAATGTCGATATCTTGAAACCGGATTAATCAATATCATTCTATCGCTCGAAAAACGGAAGAGTGAGAAAAAGAAATCGGATAAGAATTAAGAAATTTGACACGTATGATGAAACATCTCTGATCTTAGATCCGATGTTTTCTTTTCATTTTTTTTTTCTCTCGAGACCCAGGATGTTATTGATTATTCCAGTTCCGAGGAAATACATTTGCGAGAAAAGTTACTATTTTTGTAACTGGTATCTGTATAAGATTTGCAGACGTGTTTGTTTTCCATAAATTCGCGATAGTATGCCCTATGTGCCTCAGTCTCGATAAAACTTTGTTGCGAATGTCGAAGAACACTCGGGCCACTACAATATTACCAATTCGTAATATTATTTAATGTAATCAATAATTAAGATCTCATTATTCTTATGCTATGTTCGGTTATGTATATCTATGTCATATTTTTATATCAAATTTTAATGACAGATTTTTTTATAGACATATATAAAATCGATTATTAAAAAATTTTTACACAAAACCTTTCAGTTTTCATCAATATTAAATGTCTCAGCCATTTATTTTACATACAAATACAATCTCTACTGAAATTGAATTTGAAATAAACAGAAAAATAAAGTAGCTCTCGAGAATCAGTTTATTTTAATTTAGAATTTTTAGAAAGTCTTAATTCATAAAATTTCATTTTTTAATTATAAATTCATAAAACCATGCTTTAAAATTCTCATAATGGAAAATCGAAATTGTTAAAAAAAATCTGTCATCAAAATCCAATATGTTGTCGTCGTATTAAATGCCATGAACGAGTTCTCCACGTTCTCCGCGTTCTCCACCTAAACGGGGACGACGTGTATGGAATGGGAACATCGCCGATGAGGCTCGGCGTGACGCATCGCTAAGTTAAAAAAAAAATAAGGGGAGTAATGATAACAAAGCGCATGCCATGCGTTGTGGACTAATATCTAAGAACCCAGGCATTGCGAACAGACATAAAAGAGACGTAAAAAGATTTAGGTCGAAGACCTCGTCACATCGAGATCGATCGTCAGTGTTTTCGCGTGAGCCTCTCGGGGGAGGCGATCAATGCATATGTGTTCATGTGTGTGTTTGAGTGTGTGTGTGTGTATGTGTGTGTGTGCGCGCGCGCGCGCGCGTGTGTAGTGTATGTGTGTGTACAGGCACTTGAGGTAAAAGACCGCCCGTTCCGGATACGACCAAGTCTTCGAGATCGAACCACGCTCCTTTTGTAGTCTCTTATTCAGGAATCGAAACCGTGTAATTTCGCCAAGTTCAATTTTCGACATGAAAGAATAGTAAGGGAAAATGTTACCTTACACTAATCGTCTCCCTATTCTGGTCGGAATAACTACGTCGCAAAACAGGAGAATGAAAAAATGAGAAAATTCATTCAATGAATTCTCCCGACGTTGAAGTTATAACTGTGGCTTTTAATTTCCAACGACTTTTAATTTCTGTAACTTCTACTTAGAGTTTATAATTTTAACTGTTTTCATTTTCTCATCATTTTTTCATTATTAAAAAATTGTTTTGCAATCTAATATTCTAATTTAATTATGGAATATTATTGGTTTTAACAATTTATTTTAGTATTTCAATTACTCTGCCTCGATGTTCAAGAATGGTTTACGCATCAAAATGCAAACTAGTCAAAATTAGACCGATCTCGATTCCTTATCTCATCGCCCGAGATTAGTGATTAATGACGACAGTGGTTACTAATGATAATTACGGCGGTGATGGCGGCTACTGCCGGTAGCGGCGGTTATGGATACGTAAGAACTACGGCGATAATAAATTTATAATTATATTGTAAATATGTGTAATAAGAATCATATAATGATCGTAACACACAGATCATGCGCACACTAAACATGTATTTCAAAAACTAGTCAAGCGAAACTAATGACTGAATAAATTTCCCAAAAAAATAAAGATTACAAAAAGTAGATAAACAAATTGAAGGCAAGAGAGGAGAGAAAAAATTAGACGCAATTTTCAAAAATTAATCCAACTAAAATATTAATTGGCAGTCGTGTGAGAGTCATCGAGTTTCGGATTTTGTTTCGCGATTAATCGTAGAACCCGACCATAGAATTACGAATCACGATAAATGCTAAGATTTCCACTCCAAATAAACAATTTTTTATGAAGAATTATAACGATTTTATATCTTATCTTATTATTACATAAAAATATACAAAGAATATATTGCATGTAAAATACAGCAATTTAGATGATAACAATTTACTATTATCCCGTGAAAAAATGCGAAAAAAATTGTCTCCAAGATGTATCAATTTCATTACCCGCGTCACGATTTTTTTATTCATTTCTCCTCATGTCAGATATATATTTGCATTGGATATAATCGGGTTCTAGGATTAAAGTTCCTGGATGTTGTGTGCGTGACGCGACTTCGCGAGGAGTTTCGCTCGCTCGTGTGAAATTCTTTGCCTCGTAAAAGAACATCGCACGAACGCGAATCGTGGATATAAGTGTCGACTTTTACGAAGGAGGAAAATGTCCCATTTCTCAATAAAAACGGATTTTTTTTTTTTTTTTCGTAAAGGCAAATTTCATCGTTTTTATGCTGTATAACTTCATCAATTTTTTGTTCTGATTGCTATGATGAATCTACGAATATCCGAATATTTCATCGACCGCATTTGCTTAATGGCTCTATTATTCTTCTCCCTCCCTTTTGTTCATCAATCAATCTTCGTAATTAAGATCTTATAAAAATCAGATCGCAAAAAACGTAAAAAAAAGTTTCATCCAAAAATATTTTGGACGTATACTATCGGCAAACTCAGTAAACAGCTCCGATGCATCAAACTGTACGTATTCTACGGGATACGATTATTACATTCGTATTCGTGCGTGATTTACGAGTCGCCGCGATTCTAATCGCGACTATTCGTTCCCTTAATATCGATTATATAATATCCTTCCTCTTGGTCGGTAAACTTTGCGCGTGAATATAGTAGACAATTCAGGGCAGTAGTATTCTTATGGACACTATCTTATAGTCTCACACTCGTATAGTCGTAGCTATCCGATATAAGTTAATTTATTCTCGAATCAACCTATATATAGGGAAGCACATTCTTCTTTTATCTATCGATATAACACATACCATACAAAAGTTCGTAAACTGCAAAAGTTGACGAAGCATAGTCGTGACTTATCTTAAATCTTTTTAAAAGTGCATAGATCTGACTTTAATTAAGAAACGAAAATTATAACACGCGAAATTGTTTTACAGCACATTCGTTTTGGTTACGTCAATTCTCTTGCATGCCTTGTTCTCGAGGCGATGCGAGGGAATATTATTCTTGCGCATACACTGCGATACCCGTCTCTCTTACAAAAATTATCAAAGTACAGCCTTAACTTATATATGAGAAAGAAAAATGAAAATAAACGTACCAGTACGTTTATACTAACACGCAGTGAGCATTCAACAAATAATACGTATAAATACACTTCGCATGACTTTTCACGTTGTTTCTTCTTAAAGAAACTCACTTGAACGCTATAATCTTTACTCTCGGAATGTACCGGCGAACGTATCAATTTATTCTTCATTGTCGATCATTTACTGCTAAATGGATATATTATAAATGAACAGATACTATCGTGTACAATTGTCCCGCGATTAACTTTCGCCGTCGTGTCTCGCACGAAACTATTTAAACGCTTTCGTATCCGAGATGCCTAGATAATTCGATCAGATTCGAACGAAACACGAGAGTCGCAAGAAATCACGAAAGAGGATGTGTTATATTAGTGGAGCGTATATGTCACTTTCGTCCATCGTGGTGTCTCGCTTGTACTGTCGGCCTCGCGAATTCGCCTCGCTTCCTATCGCGTGCGTTCACGACGGAGGGAGGATTAGAGCGCGAGGAGCAAATATCCCTGACGGCGACTCTAAATGGCTAGAGATAGGAGCATTACTGCTGCGGTAATGGCGACGCCGGTCTTGCAAGTATCACCAGCATTACTGTAGTCCACAGTAGTGATGCCCGTAGATTCTGAATGGATAAAAAGGCTCTGTGTAATAAAAAAGATCTTCCCCGCTTCAAGTATGTCGTCGTCGAGTAAAATATTTTTAATGTCTTTACAAGCCCGCCGACGGTCACCGGATAGCTTTAGCTAGCTGGTGTCTTGCGCAGGGTCAAGGGATCTGAGGACTTCTTCAAATCCTGTAATCTCGATTAACGCCAGAAGGGCCGGGGGCTTGGTATTTTTATAAAAATAACTTTCCATTCCGCGTAAAATAGAAAGCAAGTTATATAACATGCATATAAAAAATTGCAATTCAAGTCGCGATACCAAAATTCATATTGCAAATATATATATTAACGTAATAAACATAATTTATTCCTATAAAAACGTACGTTATATCTAAAAATGAAAGTGTAATTAAATACATTTTACTTAAAACGAATGGTGTTAAAATATTTAGCGAGCAAAATAGCCATTTAGGCCTTTCTGATGATTACAAGATCGTTTCCGCCGTCGACAGAACCATTAGAAAAGTTATAAGAAAAAATTAATACAAAAAAAAAGATAGTTTAACTGAATGGAAACCTCTTAGACGAGGAAACGAAAGACCTCAAATAACCCTTTTCCCTCCCCCTTGAATGAACAAAAATAGGGGCGACAAAGTGATAAACGATTTGAAGAAGATCGCGAAGAAAAAAATATTCAGTGCAGTAGCTTCGTGCACATATATATTTCAAGAGGAATTAAATATATCTCGAGTGGAAATCATTACGAAAAATGTAGATACGTCATGACAATAATTATGTTGGATCGTAGGAACACCGAAAATTAATTGCCACTAACTTACCTCTAGCCGTCCTGATCTTGACGTATCCAGGTTTGCCGTAACCCATCGCGTTGTGAGCCTGAAGCTCGACTGTGTAGAAAGTATCGTATTTCAGTTCCTTGAGGAAATGCCTCGTCCTTTGGGATTTGACATCTGTCGATTGACAGGTTTCTTGCATCACTTCCCACTCGCCAGAGACACGTCTTATCTGGCAGTACTTGATCAGGTACTTGTCTATGGGTTCGCCATTGTCGGGCGGCGTCACCCAGCTGAGCTCATATTGATGACTGTACGGAGACTGCTCGTATTCAGAGCCTGGCGTGGTCAGAATTCTCGGATCTTTTGGCACCGTTCTACCGGGTGTGATCTCTCGATGGAAGTTACCAAAGTTACCCAGACCGACCTCATTTCTCCCGGCGAATCGGAAGTCATAGGGCGTCTGTGGTTTCAAACCCTCGATGACGTACAGAGTACCTAGAGGATATTGTTTACGTGACGTTTAACTAAAATGTTAAATTACATAGAAAGAAAAACACAAGCTAAGAAAATAATTAAAATTATAGCATGACTTGGTTTTAGTGTATAACTTTAATGCATGCTTTGTATAAAATAGTTTTTTATTAATTTTTTACCGTAAATATAAGTGACTTATAAATAAATATCATCAAATTATAATTAGATTTTTTTATTTTTTCAGACTCTTTATATACTCATAAACAAAATTAAATTTTTGTGTTGTCTAATTAATTTATTATGTACATATTTAAAAGCAAAATATCACAATAAATGTTCTCAAATATATCTAAGTTGATTAATTCGTTAATTTAAATAAGATTACTTTTTTATAAATTCGTTAATATAGATATTCTTGAATTAATATAAGATCGAAAATATTAAGATCTTAACTTTTTTGTACAGTTCATTAAAAATTAAAAGAATATATTATATATTTAAGACTTACCGACAGACCACGTCTTATTTTTCGCGTTTTGCCAAGTATGCAACTCTTCTTTGTACTGTACGGTAATAGTGGTGACAGGCAAATCTGGATGTACGGGCGGTTGCAGATCGAATCTTATCGTCGTGGCGGTAACTTCAGCCATCTTGACGCTCAAAAGCTCGCCGGGTTTCGCCGCTTCTCTCAATTCCATCATACGCTCCCTCGTACCATGAGTATTCATAGCGATGCACTTATAATGCGTGTAAAATCTCCGGTCGATCGGTCTTATTTGGAGAGTGGAAATCGGCCCGTTACCAAACTGTTGGATATAAGCTTCGTTTTCGATCTTCTGCTCATGCAAAGTCCAGCGTATTGTCGCGTTCGGTATGCTCTCGGCTTCACAAGTGAGATTAATTGGTTTCGATTCCCAAGACCAAGTGACATTCCGCATGGTGGAGGAGAAGGAGGGCGGAAATTCCACAGTCAAATGACCATTCATGTAGGCGACGCCGCCAGTATTTTCCGCTACACATTCGTACAGGCCATCGTTATCAGTAAGAACATCAGTGATTGATAGTATGCCAATAGTCACGTCACTAGACATGTTCTGGTCTGGTTCGTTCCTCACGATGATCCGGTCATCTTCCGACTGAGCGCCATCCGCGTATGGCTTGTCGAGGGTAAATTTCCTGAAGCTCACTTTTGGTGGTGGTCGACCGAAGGCCTTACATTGGATTTCCACACTTTTGCCCTCCACCACGGTCTTGTTCAAGAACTCCATGATTTTCGGTTTGATGATCACATTTATTTGGGTAGTGGCAGTAGCGGTACCTGCAGCGTTTGTTGCCATGCATTGATACTCACCCGAATCTTCGCGCTTCACATTTGTGATAGTGAGTATACCCGAGACCGGATCGACACCGAAGCGATCGGTAATGGACAGATTCTGTTGGGTTAGAGACTTAACCCACGTGATTACTGGTGGTGGCTTGCCAGTACCATTACACCTAATGTCTGCGTTTTCGCCTTCGATGACGTCTATTGGTTTCGTAAACTCAGTGATCGCAGGTCGTATGTGTACCTAATAAGAATTAACAAAGTTATTGATAAAAAATATTTTTTAGAAAAAAATATAGATTTAAATTTTTAAGCAAATATAATCTCTAAAAATTATTAGCAATTAAAAAATGTATTAACTAAATGATTGTAGTACCTCAACGTGAATAGGTCGCTCTTGCAATTCTCCTGTGGTTTGTACTGATGCCCGACATATATATGTACCATCGTCACTCTTTTGGACATTCTTGATCTTCAAGGAATAAGTATTTATGATATAGTGATTATTTGTTTTGATCACCTCTCCGTTGAAAAGCCAATCAACCGAAGGCGATGGCCTAGCGCGTACTTGACAATGAATATCGAAATCTTCCCCAAGAATGGGATACTGATTTGGCGGTGCATTCTCCCACGTGATCGCAACTATTAATCACAAATCGGAAAAATATTACGACATGTACATATATCTCTCGGAAGGAAAAAACGTGTATATTGTTTAACTAATTTGAAATCTTTTAGATTTAATAAAACTTGATAACTTTTACTGTATATCTTACAATTAGATATATAATTAGATATATAATTTATCTGTCTGCCAAAAATATTAACCAGAACGAAATATCCATTAATTGTTCTATATCTGCCTTATTAAAAAGTTACACACGATTTCCAATGACATTTTAATAAAAAAAATTCTTTGATCATTTCATCGTGATATTAAGTACTGTTCGATGTATCTCGCTGGGAGATATTTTATTCTATATCGGAATAAGTTCATTTAAAAATTAAAATGCGATAAGACTTTTTAATTCTGTACTCACTAATAGTATCGATTGTCACAGATTTGCTTAACTGCACATTACGTGCATAAATCCCTTTGCATGTATACATCCCAGCTTGTTCCTCTTCAAGGGAATTAAAGTATAGGGACAGTCTACCATCTTGGTGCAATTCGGTATATCTGGATGGCTTTGAATTACTATTGCCTTTTTTGCTGTGGAGAATAATATCACAATTTGCAAAACAATTCACAATATCGGTTAAAGCACATCAAATTGATAGCAATGATCAATGACATCGCATGACGATATTGCGTTTATACACGTTCTTCGTGAATGACGCGAGAATGACGTGTAAACGACAACGAGATGCATTCGCATGACCTCATATTATTCAACGTTGCATAGTATGGCATAGAGCATATCGACGTATGATGCGAGTACAGGTATATATGATATGATGTATTCAAGCAATTTCCATACAGTATATCGGGTGACGAGATGCCGGATGTAATATCGCGTGACGTGAACTATAAAGGTTACGAATATGGATTCTGCGGATTAAGAAGATGGCTAGAAGTGATAGGATCAAAAGCATGAGTGCTGTGAAACAGCGTTTCCGTCTTCAGAAAATGGAAAATTATCAAAACAAATTTTTATATCTCGAATAAATATGGAAAATTAAGGAAATATTGTATACACATCTCAAAATTAATTTATGTTATCACGAAGCAGCTATATTATGACAATCACATAAACATAAATGCAAACAATGAGGATTGGCATAAAAAATAATACGATATTATCATGACAGCAATGACAGTTTGTCAATTATACAGAGCGATCGAAAAAGCGATAAAAATTTTTATATGTATATTATAGGTTTTTTTTTTTTAAATATATGGTACGTGATATAAATAAATGGTACGTGAATATTTCTGGTTCAATTTGTCTCTACATGTCTCTACATTCTTGTAACAGCTTGTATTAGTGTAATATGGAGAACATATAATTGAGTGGCGCAAATTGCTCGAATCGGGGTGATTTTGTCTGGGAATGTCACACACGGCACTCTTGACGATGAATGTACTTAATTATGCAAATCGTACTCGGGGATCGAGTAATCGTGCAAACACGCGACACGACGAATCAGTTACTAGGGTTAACGTTCGTTAGATTATTTGATCCCTGGATTAAATACTTTGCAGTATGAGCGACACGTGGTACATATATTAGCTGTTAACGATATCGACAGACTTGCATGAATAAAGACATAAATATTACAGATGAGGGTGAAATAATGTTTGCGAGTATGCACAGAATTGCGCCATTGTATGGAGCTGCTTAATTACTGTTGAGGCACACAATCACATACATGCGCAATGCCCTAGAAATATTGTGTTTCATTTTTAATCCTATGAGCTCAAGCAGTTTAATTATAAAGCTAGTTAACATCCAAAAACTAGAGAGCTTAAGCACATAAATTTTCAGGGACGTATATAAACATAAAAAAATGTTAACAAAAGATTTTACATTCTATTTTGAAACTATAAGTTAAAAAATTAGGTAAGTAATTTAACTTTTATGTACTCAATATGTTAAAAATTTACGTATCTTCAAAATCGATGTTTTCTTTCTCTTGCAATAAATGAAATCAAATTTGAATTTTATTAACAGAGAAATTAAAAAAAGCAATGGCTCTAGGGTTACTCGGTATGCGTGAACGTGTAAACGAAAAATTTGTTACATGCATTTTTTTCCGGCCAACGAATTTCCTCGTTTTGGCATGTGCGGGCGCTCAATAAGTCAGGTTTAGTACGACCGACCGTTCGAAACTTTTCCAGCTTAACGAGCAATAGCCGGTTCGCGAACTGCAATCGGTTCGCGTTGCAGCAATTAAGAGCTCCATGGCGCGGACTGCGGGAAACGTGGTTACATCGTGGGAAAATGATTGTATCGAACTCGGGACGAAGTGACGGGTGAATGTGCCCGCAAATGAGAAAGGTGGAAACAGGGAGGAACAAACGAACGAGCGCTACTATAGTTGCATAGTCTTTAGGTCTTCAGTAGATTTTATACTCGCCTTTCGAGTGGTAAGACGGCGTACCTGTGTATGCATTACAAGTGACAGAAATTTATAAATTAGTATTAAATATTTTTTGTACTTTTTCGCTTGTAATTTGTGTTCTCTATGGAGGATTTATGATTTATGTCATAAATAATTATTAATTAAAATTTACGATTTTATTCTGTGAAATTATTAGAGACATGATGTGTATTATACTATATAAGATTATATATAAGATTATGAGTAAAATGTTACAATCTAATGTTAATTAGATTGTAACATTTTACTCATAATCTTAATCGAAAGAAAACGCTGTTTCAAAATTATTTCAATAATTCATTAGGTTTATTTTACTTCTCAATTAAAATAAATTTCACAAATACTTTAACGAAGCACGACATGAAATGCATTATTCTCTGAAATATAATTGATTAATACAGCAATTCATGTATAAATATCAACGATACAAAAGAAAAAGTGTCTAGATTCATGAATCATGATTCTTATAATTGCTTGTAATAACTCTTCAAAAAATGATCATAGCACTAGCGGCGTTGCAATTGATACCTCCGATTAATTAAACTGTCATCTTCTCAATTGCTAATTATAATATAGATAGAGAAGCGCCGTTGACTTGATCACTTTTGAGTCATCTTAAAAATATTATTTCTATGAGCAAAAAAGAAGAAGAGATGAGGTGTGGTAATCGACTTACTTGAGAGGCTCAATCAAGCGATCCATCGGATCGAACCATTGCATATCAGAGATAAGTGACGGATCGTCTACCTTCGGTTTACACGTGAGGATAATGCTGGAGCCGATCGGCTTTGTTTGCGTCTCGCCGTTTGGTAAAATTTCCAAGTACGGATCAGTTGCGTTCGCATAAGCTGCAAAACAAGAAAAAAATCACAAATGTTATTATGCTGACAGAAAGATGAGTATGTGCGTGTGTACATGTTTTTGCATGCGAAACGATCGCAGTCGCTAGGGACCGACGGAAAATACTGGTTTCGATAATGATATAGTTAACGGAGTATTATAATGATCATCCTAATTATGTGTAATTTATTTTTTGCATTAATGCAAAAAAAATACAAGAGCGGACACTTATCTTAAATATGCGACTTTTAGTTACAAAAACATGGTTTAAATCTTTAAAGCTTGTATAATTTAGAATTGAATACATATTCTAATTTATCATCATAATTATTTGTATGTGAAAGATAGATAATAAATCGACAAGTTTATAATAATTTTCATTCGATTATGTTTTGATTATAAGTTTAGTTAAATTTAAATTTCTTCCTCTTCTAAAATATCAAAACACTCAATATTTTTTTTATGTGTATACAGAGTGAATCAGAGTCGTTGAACCAACTTTTTATCCTAAGAGAAATTTATCGACTTTATATCTAATTGAATTATAATGTGTGCAGTCGATTATTTTCTCATAGGGTAAAAAGCTGATTTAACGACTCTGATTCATTCTGTATAGTATATAACATATCAATTAAAACATATATAATAATGAAAAAAATAATTATTTATTAATATTTCCAAGCTTTCAAACATTGTTTCAAAAGAAGAGAATAAAATTCAGATAGGGCGAAAAACTGGTCTTATGTGTGACCCTTTTTCTTTTTCTTCTTCGAATTAAATTCATTACTGAGATAAAATTACTGAAATAAAGATTAAGCTGTATGCTGTTTCTTAAGATCACACAATTTGAAACAACTCAGAGAGCGATAATCCTGATTAACAATCTCTCTTACCCACACGAGTGGGTCGAGGCGTCTCTGGCAGCGGGGGTGGCGGCGGCGCCGTCATCACATAAATGCACAACACGGAGAGGCAGATCGGCGACGTCTCGACGCTCATGGTAACGCAACAGAAAGCGCCTTCAGGGACCGAGATGCGTACGTGAACTATGACAACGGTATGCGAACGTCGTCGGAATGCAGGCGTGCGCGACGGGTGCCCTCGGCGTCAACACGACGCGCGACTCGCCGTAGTGGCAGGCATAACAGGAAGCGGGAATTGAGCTAATTAATTGCGGCGAGCGAAAGTGCGGAATTGCCCTAACTGGGAAACGTTCTGTGACCTCCTCCTCCTCGTCCTCCTCCTCTTCTCGTCCGCGTCATCCAGACGTAAACTGCATCAGCAGCGTAATGCAGAATAGATGCTCGCCTGTTCTCTCCTCCCTCCCCCTCCCCCCCCCTCTCTCTCTCTCGGCGCCAGCTCTGCAAGCTCATTAGCTCGTTAACTTCGCGCACGTAAAGCTCAGGCTACCTGACGAGTGGAAATGACGGCGCAACGAGGGAATCATTATCGAATTTACGGGCGAGCCACAACTAGAACTACTCGTTAAGTCCGTGAGAATTTCTCGAGTCGCATGGAGAAGCGCCGATTCGTGATTACATGCGATTAACTACGGAGCTTAAAACGCGACGATGCCCACAACGGTCGATTTCCGTTTCACGCGGATTAAGTGGGCCGATAATGGATTTGTGTTCGCATTGTATCGGCAGCCAATCGCTTCCTGCACAGGTGCATGTTACTACTGATTGTCAAATTGACAGCACAAGCGTTTCACAGGAGAAAAAAGTCAGTAAAAAAAAATAAAAAAAATATATATATGTATGTATATATGTATGTATGCATGTATTCCGATGCAAGCACAATGCGATGAGTGAGCCGTGTAATCGAAATAGGGGGCCAGTTCGCCTAAATAATTCTTTTTTTTTTTTCACTGGCTGCAAGAGCGCGCCGCTGTGTAACAGTTGATCTCGTAAATACTGAAACCGCGAAACGGTGGTGGATGCTGCGAAAATAATTGAATACGGATTAAAAAAAGCGGGCTCGAGATAGTGAACCAAGCTACGCTGATGCAAGCGAGCAGCTCGCGTGTGACGCTGATCGCGTCTGACGTAATCGACAATGGCACGAAAATTGAAACCGCCCCGCAAATTGCCGGCGGAAAAAGTCGATCTCCTCTGTTCCCGCGCAGCGAATAACTTCCGTGCTATTTCTGCCGTTGGTAAATGTCAGAAGAACAAACGAAAATACAATATGAATTTTAAACAAAATTCGAAGACGTCCCAAAAAAAAGACTAGATGCGTTGCTGCATTCTGCCTTTCATCTAGTTAGCCATCACCTGTAAAATTTATTCTCGATGGCTCAATTTCCTCAAATTATTTCTAAATATATGTTTGTTCAGAAAATATATCGTCTCATGTAAAAATAAATTCTATATTAGACTTTGCCTTTGTCATTAAATCTGTTCCATTTTCGATATTTTTTTTTATCTTTTGAATAAATTATCATTTATTTTAATTATACCTTTACCATTAAATTTGTATTTTCGTTGAAGATATCTTCGACAAAATCAGTACAAGATGATTATTTTATCGCGGATAATGCAAACCGTTCGAGAAACTGGAGGGATTAATTTCGTAATAGTCTCGTTAATTTCTGTAATAGTCCGCGCAAGGACGCGGAAAGGTTACAAACCTTCCTCACGGAGGAACTTCCTTAATTGGCCTAAGATCGAGGATGAGTTCTTGCGTGCGGTCAATTAAAGGATCTAGCCAGTGCGTTACGCTTTGCTCTGCTCCCTCCCTCCCCTCTTCCTCTTAGCAAACTTAGGACTTTAAGCTGCTTTTACATCTTTCTATATACAAGAACGACCGATTAGATTCAACTACTGAAATATGACAATCATCAAACAAGCGTAATAAATATCTTGCGATGAACTTTCAAAAAAATTAAAAAAAAAAAAACATTTATTCTTAATTAAATCTATGACTTCTTTCTAAAAGACTTTTTCAGCTTTCAGCTGGCCATAAATTCCTATTGACATAGTTTTTCGAATTATCAAAGAATGTTTTTTTTATATATAAATGAAAAATATGGAATTCTTCATTCATATTCCGTTAAATTTATTTTGATTTCAACAAATAAATGTAATAAATTAAGATCTATGAATAAAAATCTGTGATTTCAATTAATAATTCACTATATTTTCTTTAGATTATTTATTGTAATTAAACCGTAGGTATTTCATTAAACTAGTGGTTGATTGTATGCTTGTAGAAATTAACATTCACGTTCCAACTTTAATGTGTGCGATAGTATGCGAAGTGCTCTTCGTTTTCTCGAAAATTCACACGTAAGAGGTCGAGCTTACAAATTGCGATAAGTTCCAACGGTACATTCAAGCTGAAGTCTGTATCTAGGGGGGAGGAGCATCGTGATAAGACACTGCAACGTTCGCTTAACGCCAACAGCATTTGCATCGCAAAGTTTGCTTAAACTTTGAACTGGGTGAATGGTGAGAAATGTGTTAAATCCTCTTAGTCGTCGGTAATTGTCTCCGACCGTGCATTACATACAATAGCTACAATCAACCAGCAGTCGTTTTGATTAATGGCTCGACTTCAGCCTGAAAATATGCTTTCGTTCTGCTATCGAGCCCTCGATCTATAATATCTCGAAACATTATGGGGATTACAATTTTGACCAGCTGTCATTTCGGTGCCTATGTACACAATGATTGAACTCCCTACAAGAGGTGTAATTCTGCTCTTACAGCCGTCATTTCCGATAAGAGATTTCGTAATCAAGAGAGGGTGAATCGCTAAAGATTACGTCCCCGGGAGCATTGTCTCTTGCTCGTAAAGACAGCTTATTTATTTGCTGTTCTTGCACTGTCATAAAATGTCGTTTCTTCCTCGCGATAAGACTCGCAAATTCATCATTTCCGGCTCGCTTAGGCGAATAGGCGGGCAGGCTAGGGGTAAGTTAAAGATTTTCCTACAGTCACTTGGGTCCTACAATCGCAAAATGTGTTTCACAAGGGGGCTAAATGAGCAGACGGTCCCTCTCGAACAATGGCAAGACATAAATCGCAATTATGTTTCCGGCGGACTGAACTTATTCGATTTTATCTAATACACTGAGAAACTCTCAGTGATGAAAGTATTCGATCAAGTTACGAGATATTTGATATTTAGAGATTGCCGTCACGGAATTAAATTTTTTTTCACAATTACAATCTATATTTTATATACATTTGTGTGCTATATTATTATATAAGACATAAATAAATAATCTTTAAATATAACTACGTATAGATAATCTGTACGTATAAATAAAACTGTTCCAAGAAAAATATACTTCTAGATATATTTAAAGATATAGGCACTTATAATTTTCTATAATTTTTTATATATCATTTTCATAAAAATCCATATTAAAATCAAATTAATTGTAATTAAAACAATTCAATTACCTACCTACGTTTATATAATCTGTATCTAATTCAGAAAATATTTATAATAAAATAAATCTTGTTATAATTTAATACAAAAAAAATAAACATATGGTCTCTTAATTGCTTCTTTGATAGATACTTATTCAAAAAACATGTTTGTCTGCATTCGTGAAAAGAAATCATCACGTTCGTACGCAAAAAAGTGCTGATATCACGATTTATTATTGTTGTAGAAAACAACATTAATTGCTCGTTAATGTCATATTTCAAAATGTATTCGTCATTACGTGAGAGAGAAAACCTGCCAGTTCATCGTCGCGATGCGCATTATAACGTCGTACGAAACTCATTCGGCGTGAACCGCCGAAGAGAGCAACAATAACGGAGGGTTGGTTGTTCCTGGAAATCCCCATTTTCGGCCTACACCTCCGCCTCCCCTCGAGGGCATGCGCTCGGGCAGATTCTATAATCGTTTCACAAATTCGCCCGAGTCACCGCGCTCCGCTTCTTCTCACTACCCCGCGTTTACAACGGTGTACCGCATCAACCATTATCCACCCTTGAGACTCGCAAATTCATCGTTTCCGGGGCGCATACTGCGTGTTCATCCGTGG